TCTTAGATGAAGGTTTTCTTCTTAATAAAAAGGTATTAAGGTGGTAGATTTCTTGCCGTTTATTTTTTTTGTTAACATACAAACTTTTGCTGGCAACTCTTTTAATATAGAATTAAAAAACAAACAAAATTGAGTAGCCTATGTGGTCTTCTACTGTACTATCATCTATATCTATGCCAAATTTCATTGAGTTCTGTTCAGCCGTTTAAGCTACAAACTCTATTAAAAAATCATCCATCTTAACTTTCACATTTATGATATTAGTAAGATAATATGCATAGTACTTGAATTTATATGCTTTGGTAAAAAACTTAGTCCATCATCTTCATCAAGACATTATTATGCTTTATATAAACATGTCTTTTTTTATATTTATGAAGGTTGGAGTTCACCAGCCGAAGAGAATTGAAAATGCAAACATTCTGATAGCCAACACGCCAATGGACACAGACAAGATTAAAGTTTTTGGATCTGTCATCAAAGTGGACTCTATGGCTAAAATCGCTGAATTAGAAGTTGCAGAGAAAGAAAAGATGAAGGATAAAGTTAACAAAATATTGGCTCACAAATGCAATGTATTTATTAACAGGTTAGTGGTGGATATTTCCACAAACAACTTCCTTTAAAATATAGACAGATGACCATATTAACAATACTTGTAAATTACTTTAAAACACACAAACTGAACTCCAATGCTACAACGCAAATATATCGAACGTTCCGTTGTGATGACTAGTAAAACACGCCGAGATTTTGACTGAGCGCGAGGCACTCCTTGCCATATATTTTATAAAACTACCCCCCACTACTCCTTCCGTTTCCTAATATTTTCCTAACAATATTGTTGTTTTAAATAAAGATAAATGTATTGATAAATAGCACAGATTAACAAATAACTTAAGAAATAGTTAAAAAGCTGACATTAGTATTTCATTATTTAATTCTGTATTTCTTTCAAAAATAGCTTTGTTCCATTCCATTTTAAGCAATGTTTTTGTTAGTGCTTTCTGCATGTTTAATCCAATAATGATTTTATTAAATAAATTGTATTTTTGGAGTTTATAATAATAAATAATGCTGATTACAGGCAACTTATTTACAATTATCCTGAACAACTGTTTGCGGACGCGGGTGTGATGGCCATCGAGCACGCGGACTTTGACGGCATCGAGCGCCTCGCTCTCGTCACCGGGGGAGAGATTGTATCCACATTTGACACGCCGGAAAAAGTCAAACTTGGACACTGCAAACTTATTGAACAGGTACAAATCTTATGTGAAATACACATAAAAAATCAACATATTATGAAATTACAAAACATCCAACGTTTATTGATTTTATTTTTGTTTTTCCTGATAATTTATTGCTGGTTTTTCATTTCATTTCATAGTGCTTATGTTTTGTGATTTGTATATAGATTTTGATAACTTCACTAGAATTCTTTCAAACTAACATATTTGTTTGATGACTAGATGTTGCTCGTGACTTCGTCCGCGTGAAATAAAATAAATGTAGCTTATGTTATCAGCTATAACTTAGATTCTACGTAAAATAATTTTTGAAATTGACTTAGTAATTTTTGAGTTTCTTTGTTATAATATTAGTATAGATATAGATTGACAGGATCTCATAAGAGATGTAACTCTTGGTGATAAAAGTAGTATGTTATTTTCTTTATATTTGTAAACCAGGTGCTGATCGGTGATGAGAGCCTGATCCGTTTCTCCGGGGTGGAGCTGGGGTCTGCGTGCACGGTGGTGATCCGCGGCGCCACGCAGCAGGTCATCGACGAGGCGGAGCGCTCGCTGCACGACGCGCTGTGCGTACTCGCTGCTACCGTTAGAGAACCAAAGGTCATCTTCGGAGGAGGTGAGGACCACACAACTATATAAATATTTATTTCATTCCATACTTATAGCATTGAGAACAATTAATAGGGAAAGGGTTTTTAGTAATAATAGACATCAAGAGTTTAACTCATCTGTGATTATTTATGGTTTATTTTCCTTCTAAAAAGTATTACCTTCTTATAAGGTATACAGGTATCAACAAGTTTGATATTGCTGACCTTAGAGGGTCTTACCTAAGGGTAACTATTTCGGGATTAAGTACATGACTTGTAGCTCCTGGGTTTAAAACCTGCCATATTCTCAATGTGTATTTGTTATTTGAAATTAATATATTATGGTGAGAAACATCGTGATGCAACCATCACATAACTGTGTAGAAATCCAAAGATTTATTTATTAGTTCTTGTGCGCAAAAGTTACAAAATACTTAAAAGCTAAGACAAGAATTGTGCAAGGATGTACAAAGTCAATTCACTCAGCCAGCATGGTTGACTATACCCTAGTCTATCCTAACATAAAGTATTCTTCAAGCTATGCAGTAAACCTGAACCGATGTTGACTATTAGATTATTTTGAAGGTAAAAAGAGTGTTTACCAGTAGAGTTGTGTCAGGTGCGAGTGAGATGGTGATGGCGGAGGCGGTGTCGGGCGCGGCGGCGCGCACGGCGGGCAAGGAGGCGCTGGCGGCGGAGGCGTTCGCGGTGGCGCTGCGCCGCCTGCCCTCCGCCGTCGCAGACAACGCGGGCTACGACAGCGCCGACCTCATCGCCCGCCTGCGCGCGCACCACGCGCAGGGCGACCACACCATGGGACTCGGTAATCTCATACTACTGTTGCTGTTGCACGCGACTTCGTCGACGCAATATTGAAATATAAAAGTAGCCTATGATATGCTCGTCTATGTCGGCAACCCTTAGTAAAAGTCACAAGTTAGCCAAAACAAACGCGGCTTGTGGACAGACAAAAAAAAATTGAAACGCGATTTTCATTCATTATCAGCAACGCAAATACATCATCATCCAGAAATCTTGATTTTTTCTTTTCATATCACAGACACTCCAATTTTATATGTATAGGTAAATATAAATTACCTTTCTAACAGTGAAAGAATTTTTAAAATCGGCGCAACAGTTTTTGAATTATTTCAATACATACAAATCTTTTCACTTTATAATACAAGTATAGAATACAAAATATGCACATTCACAGCGTGCGCACACTTTAAAACTATCGCACAACTATTCAGGCTCGCTTTAATTCCTATGAGATATGGAGGTGCGCACACTACTCGATTTTTAGTTGTGCAACTAAACTGTTGAATGGGCTGCGAAATAATCGATAATCGCACAACTGTTGTACGATAGTTCAGTCAACGGTGTGTGCATGTTCACACTTGGACAGTACAGTTGGTTAGTAGCGCATTTTTACACCCGCTTTATGTGACATTGCGCCAGTGACTCCATACGAACGTCTAAACTATTGTCTAATTGTACTAGCCAAGTGTGAACAAGGAATCCGATTTGATTCGAAAGGGTTGAGTTGTTTTAATAAAACACATTTTTAAATAACTCGTTTAATGGAACTTATTAACATTGTATCCACTAGATATGGAGAGAGGATGCGTAGGCGATATGAAGGCGCTGGGTATAACGGAGTCATACGTGGTGAAGAGACAGGTGCTGCTGTCGGCCGCCGAGGCCGCGGAGATGATACTGCGCGTTGACAACATCCTGAAGTCGGCGCCGCGCCGCCGCGGACCGGACCGCAGACCCTGTTAATTACACTCAGTTCTACAAACAATATCTGCTATAAACCAATAAATACTACTACATAGTACAATCAGGGAATCTAGCGGTGTTGCACCTTTAAAATATACTGTCGCTTAACGTACCCATTATAACATTAAAATATGTGTACTTTAAAATATCGGTTGGTACACAGATAATTGCTTTTTTATCCCGTCGTTTGAGTAACATACTGCTACTTAATTGAGCAAAGCAATTTTTCTCTATGTGGAACATCGCGGATTTTCTACATTGTACATACCATGTGTCAGCTTATAATAAACCGACTTCACACAAGTAAAAGAGTTGTAATATTCGCATTTATAATAAGAAGGTTATATGATGAAAACAACTTTTTATACCGTTATTTTGTAATTAAGCATGTTCTAATGAATTTTTACGGTTTTGTTTAAAAATGATCCGCCATTTGCGGCGGCCATCTTAGATTTAAAATGCTATGTAAATTGTATTGTTATCTGAACTAAAGGATACCTTTATAGTATTTATATGAAAATTGTGTTTAAATTCAATTGAGCCGATCAATTCAAACATATTAAGTGAATACAACTTTTAGCAGATATTGGTTTGAAATGAAAGTGTAAGATCAGAAGTGTGAAAATAAAGTGTTGATTCACACTTCTGATTATTTTTTATAATAAGTGTATGCTTATGAAATTAATTTTCACAAATAACTATTATTTTCATTTAGTTAGACTGCAAAGGAATGAACATTTATTACCGGAAGTGTAACAGCATTTATCCATTTGTTTTGTCATGCACAAGTTTGTTCTTTTGTGGTAATAATTTACTTTTAGTTTTGCTACAAATTCAATTCTGAATTATTTGCTTTAGTTTGCTTGGCGCAAGTTAGATGTAACAATATATTTAATTAAAAAATTAACACACTAAGTTTGTTTTTTTACGATGATTGTGTAAGGTTACACCTTATATATCCGAAATATTGAGGAATCTATATTCACTATAGTTGCTAGTGGCAAACAGCCTCAGGAATACTAGCTTCGTTCGCGTGAAATTAAAAAATAATAATAAAATAGCCTATGTTACAGATAAACTACCTTTCTAAAAGTGAAAGAATTTTTATAATCGGCCCAGTAGTTACGGGAATCGAATACATACAATAATCCAAAAATAAAAATCTTCCTCTTTATAATATTAGTATAGAAGTATAGATATATTTTATATCCTAAATCCTAAAAACAATCAGTTAAATCCTATCAGTAAAATGAAATTATTTTTTTGTCTCGACAATTCCATGATTTATCCGAAGCAGGGTCTCGTAACACAATTTACCTTTATTATTTGATTCACCTCTTCAATTTATTCCCGTGTAAAAATAGAAATCGAAATTTTCTAGTCGGAAGGTGTTTTATTTGCTATCCTTTTGGGATAATAAAATGTCACGGTGAATTTATTACATAAAAGTATATCAAGATTTGTATTTACGGAATAACACTTTCTTATAGAATGAGGAAAATTAGAACGAAAAAGATATTTTTAGTTAGTTAAATCGCGTGAGCTTTAACAAACAAAACTAAATCTAAATGTATTTCTTTTTACTTGCGTCACATGCAGATCTACAAATGGCTAAAAATTAAAATTATATAAACGATCTTGTTATGCTTTGGCTGACATAAAAGAGTTTAATTGTTGAGATAAGGCGAAATAGTCAGTTGATATGAAATAACTACTATAACATGATTATACCTCGCCGCTTAATATTCTACAAACATGCGATTGTTAACGAATAAGAAAGTTCTATTACAATTTTGTTTTTGTAATATTTTTTTAGAATCCAGACTAATAAAGTCAAAGCAAAGCATGTTAATTATCACACTATAAATGCTTGTAGTTAGTTAATAAGTAAACTAATAATGTCCTAGTACATTTAAATAGCTCTAAATGCTAATATTCGCGTTAATAAAAAGAGATATTAGCAATAATTCAGCAAAAAAAGTCGCAAACACTTCATAAATCGACCGCGACTAAGACAAACATACTTTAATGGATATCCTTTTACGTGTTACATATTTTTTCCGCGGGACGAATCGGTGCAGACGAGACTCGAAGCTGACGTCTCGTTCATTTTTAACTCCACCCTCGCGCCAGGTCAGAGACAATTTGGATAAATTGCGTATATTCGCTGGCGACCGTTTAAATTATTCAGACGCCAGCCTTCGCGTCTTCATGACAAGAGGATTGCACAATAAAGCGGAATATTTAGAGAGTGATCACGTACTTCGAGCCTACGGAGAGAACCGCCGTCGCTCCAACGTCTGTTCTTGAATATGGCGCTTCTATTCTCCCTGTTCTATCTTTGCGAAGCTTTATTAGGTAAATATTTCGAGACTACGTTTACTGGCAGTTATGAAAACTTAATCCGTTCGGTATGTGAAAAGCCTTCAACCTTGAAAGTGTGAAAGTCAGTTTGAATATTGCGAATGTGTGAATATTTTATGTGTTTTTATCATACCATTTATCTGCAATAATATTTTTGTTACATTTTTTCCGTGCAGGACAGAAATTGCTAATTTAACTATTTCATTTAACGATATTATTTAAGTTTCCTAAACTTTTTTAATAAAGATCTAAAGTTTTTATGTCCAACAGTAGCAAAGCGACGGGCACCTATTTAAGCAGAAAGAACTTAAAGTAGCTTTAAAATGTAACTTAAATACAATTTAATTAAATGGCAAACGCAGAAAAACAAGCGAGTGAATAATGCTAACTAATGACGGATGTTTGTAGTTGTTGCGATGTTTCCAAACTACACGCGGTACGCTCCCACACCCCCCTGCCTATCTCCCGCCCGCGAGTCGCGACGTTATTCTCTGCATGAACTTGTAAGTAAAGCTTTTTAACTTCATTATGCACGAATTTAAGAAAACTGAGATTTACAACTACAAACTAAACAATAATTAGGAGCATTTCAACATAATACATTTATGCAACAAAAATCTTTGTTAAACAAAGCACACAGTAATTAATCGAAAACGGTTTCTATCTTTAACCTGATCTTAACATGGATGATTAATTAACGCTTTAGTTTTTATTTAATATCGAAAGGTTACTTTAGCAGAATATAAAAGGTAATTATAACAGTTTATTCCGTTATCCCAGCTTACTGAGGTAGTAATTATCAGAGTATTCTGATCGCAGGCAAACTTTCGACGAAATAGTTTTCTTTGCTCTCGTTTATCTTTCTTAAACAGTGGAATTGGCCGGGGATTTGGGGGCTAATTACATCGCCGCTTTGTTGCTTAATAAGGCGACCGTATTTCCTCTGCAGGATATAAACATCGGTTAGTTTTATTCAATGTTTTTATACTTTGTCCTCGGAGTTTAGGAAGGAAGTAGTAAAGAAACATTATATTGCTGTTTATATGTTGATCAATGTAGAAAAATAATAAAAAGAGCAGTTAAACGCTACGGAGGATATAAAAACAATTGACAATAATTAAAAATGTTATCATGACAAATGTAAATTAATTTAAGACTTACAAGAATAAAGCAAAAAGTCTAAATTCCTGATATAACGAATTGTAAGTAATACTCGTCATCGACTATCATCTGCCCGCGACTCCGTTTGCTTGGAATTTAAAAAAAAAACAAAAGTGAGCTTATGTATTCTTTCGGACTACCCTCTATATCTAAACCAAAATTTCAAAAAATATCCGCTAAGTTTTTTAGGCTACGAACTCCAAGAAACATCCATCCATCCATCTAAACTTTCGCATTTATAATATCAGTATGATATGAAATCAGTTCATTCGTCAAAATTGTATCGACATTCAGGTCGGTATTGTGTAAGCTTTAATTGGCCCAGTTTAGTTGGGCAGAGATCGCACCACTAAATAGAGATTTGTGCGGGACTGATCCTCCTTGATCCGTGGAATCTACTGGCATACCTTTACGTAAACTAAGCGAGCGAGCCCGGACGGCCCTAAAACTTCATTGTTCCACTTTCCGAACATGCTCGCCATAACAGAAACATTTTATAATCTTTAGTCAGACGTTTCAGAGTCAATTAAACAATAAATAAAAACTAAGTTACTCTTTATTTATTAATTTTCTATATATATAATAAAATTGTAGTGTCTGTTTGTAACATCAAAAGAAAAATTCCAATTTTTGAGGAAGATGATGTAAAATCTTCGCTACAAATTTAAAAATTACATTTAAAGTTGAGAAGATAAAAATAAATAACGTAGTTAACAACAGAATTTGAAGAATATTTATAAGTATGAACTTTTTATTAGGAATCAGAAAATCAAATATTATAGATTTTTACCTGTTTTTCCTTGTTCTTACCACGTATCAACGTCATGTGGCTTATCTACTTGGTCAATACGTACAAAAGAAAATATCTATTTTCCGTTTTACACGCTCTCTGTATTTGAAGGATAAAATCTCTTAAATCCTGACTGACACTTTCCTCAAATGTTTATTTTTTCAAAAAATGTTTGAAAGTAACTTGTAGGTAATAATTTACTACTTGCTTAAGTACTTAATCAATTTTATTAATAAGAAAAGAAAATGATGCAAATCTAAAAAAAAATATGGTGAAATCATCGAGAATTTTAATCCATTATGTTATAAGACAATTTTATTTTTAATGCCACTTTGTAATTGAATTCTGTGACAATATTCTGGAATGACATTATGTCTCTCTTCCATCTTAGTATTGTTTTGAAAGAAAACAGCTAAAAACTTCAATTTTTCTAATATGAAAGTGTATCCTTGCTCTTACAAATAAGGTCAAGTATCCACTAGGGCGCAGAACAGAATTTATTACTGTATAACAAATCTCTTTTTATTGAAATGACTCGCAAGGTATCTTCAAATAAATATAGCATTTGTACGTGTATAGGCTTTCTATGACAAATGTAAATAACAAATTAGTCATTTTTACTTTGAATTCCATTTAAAATGCAAAAACACTCAAGTGTCCTACAAAGTATTACGGCTACCTAATAAAATAAAAATATTACCTTTTTAACTGATTCAGTCTAGTGTGTTACAGACTTAAGCTATTGTAGGAAGTGACTTCCCGACACGACAAAGTTTAGCAATGCGCTAGGATAAGTTTCCTAAGCACCTAATATTGTTTTAGTTGGTGAGTCGCGAGCGCGAGCGGGTCTCTGGCAGACAGTTTTGGCAGCTGCTCTGTACATGATGTATGTTAATGTCAACTCGGAGATTATTTCTTGGCACTGAGACATGGCGCCCGCGCCCGCCCGCGCCCGCCCGTGCGATTGTTAGCTTACCATACTCCCCTTCATTGTATTGTGCGTTGTTAGACTATGGACGTTTTAAGTTCTAGTTATAATTTCTCAATTGTTATTTAGAATCTATGAATGAAAATAGCCATTGCTACGTTCATAATCTTTAATGAATCTATCAATAATGATCGTAAATGTTGGTACTACATTCACAATCATTCATTCATTGTAGCCAGTTGGCTTAATAACTAAAATGGTCTCTAAACTGTTAATAAAGGAGAAACTTTTCTTTGTCCCCTGTGGTATTTTAAAAGACGATTACTGCAACTTGGGAAGACCAAAAGTGAGAAATTCCGAAAATGCAGTAGACAAAACGAAGAAATCACCACAGATTTCGATAACATAAATCCGAGTAATATAATTTTCCACTTGAACAACTGATAAAGCGCTATAAATTGTATTCTACAGAAATCCAACTTGGTTCGTAGTATCCGCGCAAATAAAATTCAAGCGGCGACTCACAAAAAGAAAACAATAAAATACAATAAAGTTAACGTCTGCCTGTGATTGAATTCACTAAGTTTAAAGTGTGTTATTTCTTCAGCGGAGTTCGCTTCGCTGACAGTAGATAATATTAAACTAAGGGTGCGTGCCAGTTGTAGCTGATGA